GCATGGTGGTGTGAAGGGCCAGCTGGGTTAGTGGCCATGACCTTGCCAGGTGGCTCATGCCACTCCCCCTCCCCCCCAGTGGGCTTTGGAGGCTCTGCCGAGTATCTGCCCCCGTGTGGGGTCTGCCCGCTGCGGCTCCACCACCGGTGGTGTCTGGTCGGGCCTCAGGCCCAGGGCTGGAGTACCGCCTCAGGTTTGGATGCGCAGTTCCTGTGTTTAGGTGCTGGCAGTTTTAGCCCACAGTGTATGCCTTGGCTCAGGTGAAGAGGATCTGAGCTGCTGAGGGCAGATGGTAGGAGGGGAGGCCCCACCTACAGCCTGGGGGCCCCCAGACGTGACCCCAGAACGTAGGCAGGTGGCGGGAGGGCTTGTATGGGGCACCTGACCGTGACCGCCCAGGGCAGAAGCTGCCCTCGGGACGCAGGCCCTGGGGTGCTCTAGAGCAGCAGCCTCAGCCGAGCCTGGAGCGAGCTGGGGGCGGGCCTGCTCAGCCCCGTGTTCCTGCCAAAGGTCCTCTGTGGTCCTTTGTACGCCATGGGGACCAAGGAGGCTCTGTGTGGGAGCCCAGCACAGAGCCCCACTTGGGTGGATGGGCAGGCTGCCACTGGGCCATGGCTCCACAGCCTCACCACACACCTCTGCTCTCCCCGTGGGCGCCTCCCATGGCCTCTGCCCCCCTGTGGTTACGATCTTCCAGTACCAGGGTCCCAACGCTGCCACCTCTAGCGAGGCTAGGGAAGGGGCCTTCCCTGCCCTCTCCTCACTCGGGAGAGCCGGTGGTGGGACTGGCGTGAGCCCTGACCGCGTCTGCCCGGTGTTCTCTCCACACTCCTGAGACGCTTGAAGGCAGGTCCCAAGCCCCTGGCCTAAGGGGCTGTGGGGAGGGGGAGCTTAGTGGGGCACTGCCGTGGCCTGGTGCAGACCTGACAGACAAAAGCCAGGCGTCTGAGCTCACTCCTGTCAGCCACTAGGGGCTGAGCAGGGAGTTGGAGAGGAACATGGGCGGCAAGGGGTAGGGGCTCCATCCCCAGGGGGAGGCTGGGAAGGAGGCAACGCAGGAGATCCCCACAGCGGCCAGCCCAGACAGGAAGCAAGACAAAAACCAGTGAAACTCAGGAGGTTGAGATCTGAGGATCCAGGTTCAAAGCCAGCCCGGGCAGGAAAGACCATGAGACCCTTATCTCCAATAAACCATGAGAAAACCGGAAGTGGCACTGTGGCTCAAGTGGTAGGGTGCTCACCTTGAGCTGAAGAGCTGAGTGCCCAGGCCCAGAGTTCAAGTCCCACAACCAACAAAGAAAAAACAAAAAACGGTGAAAACCGGCTGGAGGCTTGGGGGCCCCTCAAGAGCCCTCGTAGACACGCTATGACCAGGCTTGGCAAAGGGTGGTCAGGTCCCTGGGGGCACTGTGGACTTGACCTTGTGAGCCTGGCTGCTGGAGGCCAGTCTGTCAGTCACCCCAGTGCTGCCTCAAAGCCAGGCGGCCCTTGAGTGGCCCGGTCATGAGTGGAAGAGGTCGTGCATGATCAGGTTGACGAGGCTAGGCTAGGACGTAGTAAAGTGGCCTGCCTGCAGCCACCCACACCTGGGGGACTGAGGTAAGTGAGCCTGTGCAGCTGGCTGGAGTCGCCAACCTCACCGGGTCCCAGCCGCTCCCCTGGGCTGTGTGGGAACCCATGCTGGGACTGCAGCTCCACCATTAGAGCAGCACCAGTTTTTTGTTTTTTGTCCATCCTGGGGCATGAACTTGGCCTGCACACTGCCCCTGAGTTTTCTCACTCAAGGCTAGCACTCTAGTGATGGGAGCCACAGCGCCATTTCTGGTTTTCTAGTGGTTCACTGGAGTTGGGCACCAGTGGCTCATACCTGTAATCCACCAGCCCAGGCAATCTGACAGATTTCCCTGTCTGGACTGGCTTCAAATCACAGTCCTCAGATAGAGAAAAGCTAGGATTACAGGAGTGAGCTACCAGCATCTGGCCCTTCTTTTTCTGGCTTTTTACTGGTTACTTGGAGGTGAGTTTTTTTTCTTTTTTTGGGGGGGGGGGGGTCCGGTCGTGGGGCCTGAACTCTGGGCCTGGGCACTGTCCCTCAGCTCTTCAGCTCAAGGCCAGCACTCTACCACTTGAGCCACAGCGCCATTTCCGGCTTTTTTCTTTTTGCTTATGTGGTGCTGAGGAATCGAACCCAGGGCCTCAGGCATGCAAGGCAACCGCTCTACCACTGAGCCACCTTCCCAGCCCTTGGAGGTGAGTCTTAACAGACTTTCTGAACTTTTCTGTCCTGGCTAGTCACCAATGCCTTTATTACTACATTCAGGTTAGCTTTGAACTCTTTCCAATCTGACTCAGCCTCCTCAGGGCTAGGATTACAGTTATGTACCACTTCCTCCAGTTGCCTCCCTGGGGATCTTTTTTTTTTTTTTTTTTTTTTTTTTTTGGGTCCGGTCGTGGGGCCTGAACTCTGGGCCTGGGTGCTGTCCCTCAGGTCTTCAGCTCAAGGCTAGCACTCTACCACTTGAGCCACAGCGCCACTTCCGGCTTTTTTCTTATGTGGTGCTGAGGAATCGAACCCAGGGCCTCGAGCATGCAAGGCAAGTGCTCTACCACTGAGCCACCTTCCCAGCCCATCCCTGGGGATCTTAATGGGTTCCCTGGACTGGGATTTGAAAAATGTTTTCTTAGAAGCTCAGTGGTAGAGTGCTCACCTAGCATGCATGAAGCCTGGGTTCAATACATCAGTACCACATGCACAGAAAAAGCCAGAAGTAGTGCTGTGGCTCAAGTGGTAGAGCGCTAGCCTTGAGCAAAAGAAGCTCAGGGACAGCGCCCAGGCCCTGAGTTCAAGCCCCAGGATGGCCAAAAAAAACCCAACAACAGCTTGTCTTGACACATTTCCTGCTTCACACATTTCCCCCCATCTCTTCTTGCCCATTCACATTTCCATCTTAAAATCCCCTCAAACTGGGGTCTGAGGATATCCAGCTGTAATCCCTGAGAAGGCTGGGCTACAGCAAGACCTCCCCACACACACCTTCTTGCTTAGGGCTGGCAATTGTTTTGCACGTATTTCCCACCAGTTGCGTGTCGGCAGCCCTGACCCGTGGCAGGTTTAGGTAGCTGCCTGTATGTACCCTCACATCCCACCCTGAGCCGGCCTCTACTCTGGCTGCCACAGATTTTGGAACACTGGCTGTTGAGGTCCAGCCTCCTCTGAGGTTTCTGTCATTTTTGCTTTGATAACATTGTGATCAATCTCATTTAGTTTGTACCAAATCACAGATGGGGAGAGCCTGTGTCACTGGACCAGGGACCGGCCTTTCTATGCTTGGCAGTTTCTGTAACTGGCTCTTTGCTAGGGCCACACATCCCACATCCTGTTAGCTCTCATGTTTTAAAGGTATTCTCCTGGCAGTCTGCTGAGTCCCAGGCCTTGTCTGGTGTGGTAATTTTCCAGCCCTTCCCTCTGGCCTCCTGACTGTAGCCCTCTCCTACTCTGCCTAGCCTTTTGTTTTGTTTTGTTTTGTTTTTGGGTCCAGTCGTGGGGCCTGAACTCTGGGCCTGGGCGCTGTCCCTCAGCTCTTCAGCTCAAGGCTAGCACTCTACCACTGTGAGCCACAGCACCACTTCCCGCTTTTTTCTTTTTGCTTATGTGGTGCTGAGGAATCGAACCCAGGGCCTCAGGCATGCAAGGCAAGCGCTCTACCACTGAGCCAACTTCCCAGCCCCCTCTGCCTAGCCTTGATACCCAACCAGACCAGGGTCCAAGGGACATGTCTGGCAATGATGCCGACCCCAGCCACCTGTTCACCTCCCTGATCTGCTCACTGGCTGACCTCAGGGTCAGAGGCCACGGGTTTGACCCAAAGTACTAGAACACAACTCCAAGGGACTGCGTCATCTGTCCACACACTAGTTGGAGAGTTACTGGGTGTCAGAGGCACGTCTGAGAGCGTGGTACTTGGGGTGCCCCTCAGGTGTGGGGGCGCACCGGGAATTGCTTTTCTAACGGAAGCCAAACAAATGGCCAAGTCCGCCAGCAGCCTGGAGGGGTTGCTCTCAGTCAGCCAGGGCGGCCTGAGTGTGGGGGCTGGAGCAAGCCCCCAGCGAGGAGGCCACAGCCCTTACCCTGCCCCGGTCTCCTCCAGGGCGGACACTGTGTGCACGTGGGCACGTGGACACCTGCGTGTGTGCGCGTGCTGTGTGTGCACGTGGACACTTGCATGTGTGTGTACTCGTGCACATGCGTGTGTGTTCGTGTGTGTGCACGTGGACACTTGCGTGTGTGTGCGTGTGTGCGCACGTGTGCACTTGCATGTGTGTGTGTGTGTGTGTGTGTGTATGACGGGGGGGGGGGGGGACGGAGGCCTGGCTAGAGCCTCTGTGGTGTGCCCCGGTTTGGGGGCCGCCCTCCTGAGCTTCCTGGCAGCGCCACGTCCGGCTCGGGGGCTAGCTGGACATCAGTCTCACAGACTCCTGCCCGCCGGGTCCGAGCGGACGCCGTCGGATCGCGGCCTGCGGGCAGCGGGGCGGGCGGCCCGGCCCACGTTCGCTGCCAGCCGTCCTCCAGAAGCTCCCGTTTCCGTGGAGGCCCGGGCCGGGCCACGCGGCCGCGCGATCGCAGGCCGGGGTCAGGGTGCACGCAGGGACCCGGGTTCCTGGGGCCGGCACGAGCGGTCCGAGCCAGGATGCGGTGAGCGGGCGGGCGTCGGCCGGCCGGGCTCGGCTCGGGCTCGGGCTCTGCGGCTGCGCGGTGGGCCCCGCGGCTCGGCGCCCGCCGGGGGGCGGGGGCGTCGGCCACGCCCAGGGGCGGGGCGTCCATCGCACCAGGGGCTGCGTCGGTCACGCCCAGGGGCGGGGCATGGGCCGCACCGGGGGCTGCGGCGGTCACGCCCGGGGGCGGGGCATGGGCCGAACCAGGCTGGCGTTGGCCACGCCCGGGGGCGGGGCCGCCCGGGGCCCGCCCCGCGCCCCACGCTGCGCGGGCGCATTGGCTGCGGCCGGCGCGGGCGCGTGCAGGCTCTTTGAACCGGGCCCGGGTCGTCGCGGCCGGAGTTGCGCTCCGGCTTCGGCCGGTGGAGCGGGCCGGGCGCAGAGCGCAGCCATGGCGTCTGAGGCGCGGGTGTCGCGCTGGTACTTCGGGGGCCTGGCCTCCTGCGGGGCCGCCTGCTGCACGCACCCGCTGGACCTGCTCAAGGTGAGGCCTGGCCCGGGGCCGAGGGCTGGGCGCGGGGCGCGGGGGGCGGCGGCTCGCGGGCGGCGCGGGGCGGGGTCCCGCCCGGCCACGTTTCGCCGGACGCCGGCTCCCGCCGCAGCCCGGACCCGGTGATCACCCCGGCCGCGGCGCCACCGCGCCCACGCCCGCCCAGGCTCGTCCGCGCCGCCGGCCTTCGGTGCCCGGCCCCGGGCGGTTACTTCCTGAGCCCTTCCCGGCCCGGACACCTGAGTACCGGCCGGCCCGGTTCAAAGTTCAGGCGGCTCGAGGGGCGCGCGCGCCGTGCCTGGGCCGCCGGGCCGCTCCCCCCGTCCCCGACCCCGCGCCCCGCAGGGCACCTGCCCTGGAAGAGAAGGGGGCCGGTGCTCAGGCCCCTCCCCGTCCCAGGACCCTCCTCATCCAGTACCCTCCCTGCCCCAGGACCCCCTGCCCCAGGACCCACCCCCGTCCCAGGACCCCCTGCCCCAGGACCCTCCCCCGTCCCAGGACCTTCCCCCATCCCAGGACCCTCCCCGTCCAGTACCCTCCCTGCCCCAGGACCCTCTGCCCCAGGACCCACCCCCTTCCCAGGACCTCCTGCCCCAGGATCCTCCCCCGTCCCAGGACCTTCCCCCATCCCAGGACCCTCCCCGTCCAGTACCCTCCCTGCCCCAGGACCCCCTGCCCCAGGACCCACCCCTGTCCCAGGACCCCCTGCCCCAGGACCCACCCCTGTCCCAGGACCCCCTGCCCCAGGACCCTCCCCTTCCCACGGCCCTCCCCCATCCTAGGACCCTCTCCCGTCCCAGGACCCCCTGCCCCACGACTCTCCCCCGTCCCAGGCCCGGCCCCATCTTCCTCTAGGGGTGCGGGGGAGGTCCTTTGTGCCAGGAGACCTAGTCTCTGTGTGGCCAACTCACAGCCAGCCCTCCACCCTAGCAGTAGACAGAGGCCTTCTGTTCCCCAGGGCCTTCCCCGGGGAGGCTTCCAGACCCGTCTCCCTGGCCACTCAGAGAACAAAGAAGGGCCGAGCTTCCCCAGCCTGAGAGGCTCTGCCTGGTCTGGTCAGGAGGTTGCCCGCAGGAGGGGTGCGGCTGGGCCCCGGCCTACACCGCTGGATGGGACCACGCCAGCCCTGTCCTTTGCCCCAAGCTGCCATTTCATAAAAGGGGTGGTGGCTTTTTGATGAAGTGCAGGGATGAGCTTCCAGGTAAAAGAGGACACCAGTCCTCACTTGTCCTGGGAGTGGACTCCACAGGTCCCGTTTTAGGGCAAAGAGCAGGAACGCGCAGTCTGCTTGGCGAAAGGGCGCCGCCTCCCTCAGGCTGGCGTGCTTGTGGTTTTTGTTTTCCACGCTTCTGGATGTGCTCACAGGCACCACCCTCACTGCGGGAGGCAGGCTGACCGGAGGCTGGCCGGGCCGCAAGGCCACAACTGCTGGCTGCTGTCCACCATCTAAGGCCCCTTAGGCACCGCCACCCTCCCCCGCCCAGGTCCTGCCCTGCTGCAGCCTTCCTGCTCTCATCAGGGAAGGCCTGCCACTGGGGGACTTGGGACCCCCTCTAGAACGGGGCTGTGGCCCTGCGTCAGGGACACAGACAGCAGGCCCAGCTGCACGGAAGACTGGGGTCAGGGTTTTCTTCTATCATCAGCTCACTGGGACTGTTAAATCGTTTTGATTGGGCATCAGTGGCTCATGCCTGTCATACTAGCTATTCAGGAGGCTGAGATCTGAGGATCATGGTTCAAAGCCAGCCTGGACAGGAAAGTCTATGAGACTTGTTTTATTTTTTATTTTATTGATTATTGATTGCCAGTCATACGACTTGAACTCAGGGCCTGGGGCACTGTCCCCAAGCCTCTCTGTGCTCAAGGCTAGTGTTCTAACACTTGAGCCACAACACTACTTCTGGCTTTTTTTTTGGGGGGGGGGGGCGGTCGTGGGGCCTGAACTCTGGGCCTGGGTACTGTCCCTCAGCTCTTCAGCTCAAGGCTAGTGCTCTACCACTTGAGCCACAGCGCCACTTCCGGCTTTTTTATTTCTTTTTGCTTCTGTGGTGCTGAGGAATCGAACCCAGGGCCTCATGCATGCAAGGCAAGCGCTCTACCACTGAGCCATCTTCCCAGCCCCTGGCTTTTTCTGTGGTACTGAGGAATCCAACCCAGGGCTTCATGCCTGCTAGGCAAGCACTCTACCACTGAGCCGCCTTCCCAGAGAGAAAGCGAGCAAGCCAAGAGTAGAGCTGTGACTCAAGTGGTGCTAGCCTAGACCAAAAAAGCTCAGGGACAGAGCCCAGGCCCTGAGTTCAAGCCCCAGGACCTGCATCAAAACAAACCAACAAAAAACATTTGGTTTTGGTTTGATTTTGTTAGATGGGCTCTTGCTGTGTGTCCAGGCTGGCCTTGAACTTGTCCTCCTCCTGCCTCAGCCTTCTGAAAGTCAAACCACAAGCGAGCATCACCAATCAGCTTTGAGGAATTGGAGTTCCTTGAGCTGTTCATTCTGCCCACATCCCAGCTTGTTCGTCACAGGGGCTGCTCACCTAGATCAGGGTGTGGGCCTAGATCAGGGTGCCGTTCCCTGGCACTCAGTTCCCTCTCCCACCTCGCCCAGGCCACGGGCTCTCACTGAACCAGGCTCCTCTCTCCCCACCCACTTCTCAACCCCTGCATGGTGGGGACCACCCTTCTATGCACAGCTTTCCTGGGGTCGGCACCAGGGGGAGCAGCACCAGGACTTTAGTTGTGAGTCTGGACCAGGGGCCAGGCTAGGGGCAGCCGTGCATGTTGGGGTGGTAGGAGCAATGATGGTCTCTGTTGTGAGGCAGGACGGAGCAGAGTCCAGGCCTGGGAGCTGCGGGACTTCCCACTACCCCTGCCTCCGTCTCCCCATCTCTAGACGGCCCGTGGGGTGGCTGTGAAGGTCTCGAGGGCTTCCACAGAGCCAGCTGGGGCCCAGGCCACATCCTCCACCCCTGTCCCCTCTGCCCGCCCTCCGCAGGTGCACCTCCAGACGCAGCAGGAGGTGAAGATGCGCATGACTGGCATGGCCGTGCACGTGGTGCGCACCGGCGGCTTCCTGGCACTTTACAACGGCCTGAGCGCTTCACTGGCCAGACAGGTGTGAGCTGGGTCCCCAGACCTGTTCTTTCACCCTGAGCCTACTTCTGTCAGGCCTCCCAGTCCCCACCTGTCCCCCAGCTCTTGGGTCCTGGTCCCAAAATTGTTGGGCCTGAGACCTCCAGTTACAGATGAAGAAACTGAGTGCCCCTGTGCCCACCCCTGTGCCCACAGCCCCGGGAGCCACCCCTAGGCCTGTGAGGCCTAGGGTGACACGGGGTGGCTCCAAGCCAGGCTTCTTCTCTAGATGACCTACTCTCTGACGCGGTTCGCCATCTATGAGACCCTGCGGGACTACATGTCCAAGGACAGCAAGCGCCCCCTCCCCTTCTACAGCAAGGTGCTGCTGGGAGGGGCCAGTGGTGAGTGCAGCTGGCCTGGGCTGGGCTGGGCTGGGCTGGCCTGGCCTGGCCTGGGCTGGGCTGGGCTGGGCTGGGCTGGGGGTGGGCTGGGCTGGGCTGGGGGTGGGCTGGGCTGGGCTGGGCTGGGCTAGACTGGGGGTGGGCTGGGCTGGGCTGGGCTAGACTGGGGGTGGGCTGGGCTGGGCTGGGCTGGGCTGGGCTGGGCTAGACTGGGGGTGGGGTGGGCTGGGCTGGGCTGGGCTAGACTGGGGGTGGGGTGGGCTGGGCTGGGCTGGGCTAGACTGGGGGTAGGCTGGGCTGGGCGGGGCTGGGCTGGGCTGGGGTTGGGCTGGGCTGGGGGTGGGCTGGGTTGGGCTGGGGGTGGGCTGGGCTGGGCTGGGCTGGGCTGGGCTGGGGGTGGGCTGCTGGGCTGGGCTGGGCTGGGCTGGGCTGGGCTGGGGGTGGGCTGGGCTGGGCTGGGCTGGGCTGGGGGTGGGCTGGGCTGGGCTGGGCTGGGCTGGGGGTGGGCTGGGCTGGGCTGGGCTGGGCTGGGCTGGGGGTGGGCTGGGCTGGGCTGGGCTGGGCTGGGCTGGGCTGGGCTGGGCTGGGCTGGGGGTGGGCTGGGCTGGGCTGGGCTGGGCTGGGCTGGGCTGGGGGTGGGCTGGGCTGGGCTGGGCTGGGCTGGGCTAGACTGGGGGTGGGGTGGGCTGGGCTGGGCTGGGCTAGACTGGGGGTGGGGTGGGCTGGGCTGGGCTGGGCTAGACTGGGGGTGGGCTGGGCTGGGCGGGGCTGGGCTGGGCTGGGGTTGGGCTGGGCTGGGGGTGGGCTGGGTTGGGCTGGGGGTGGGCTGGGCTGGGCTGGGCTGGGCTGGGGGTGGGCTGGGCTGGGGGTGGGCTGCTGGGCTGGGCTGGGCTGGGCTGGGCTGGGCTGGGGGTGGGCTGGGCTGGGCTGGGGGTGGGCTGGGCTGGGCTGGGCTGGGCTGGGCTGGGCTGGGCTGGGGGTGGGCTGGGCTGGGCTGGGGGTGGGCTGGGCTGGGGGTGGGCTGGGCTGGGCTGGGGGTGGGCTGGGCTGGGCTGGGCTGGGGGTGGGCTGGGCTGGGGGTGGGCTGCTGGGCTGGGCTGGGCTGGGCTGGGCTGGGCTGGGCTGGGGGTGGGCTGGGCTGGGCTGGGCTGGGGGTGGGCTGCTGGGCTGGGGGTGGGCTGGGCTGGGCTGGGCTGGGATTGGGCTGGGCTGGGGGTGGGCTGGGCTGGGCTGGGGGTGGGCTGGGCTGGGCTGGGCTGGGCTGGGCTGGGCTGGGCTGGGGGTGGGCTGGGCTGGGCTGGGCTGGGCTGGGCTGGGGGTGGGCTGGGCTGGGCTGGGCTGGGGGTGGGCTGGGCTGGGGGTGGGCTGCTGGGCTGGGCTGGGCTGGGCTGGGCTGGGCTGGGCTGTGCTGGGGGTGGGCTGGGCTGGGCTGGGCTGGGCTGGGCTGGGCTGGGCTGGGCTGGGCTGGGGGTGGGCTGGGCTGGGCTGGGGTGGGCTGGGCTGGGCTGGGGGTGGGCTGGGCTGGGCTGGGCTGGGCTGGGCTGGGGGTGGGCTGGGCTGGGCTGGGCTGGGCTGGGCTGGGCTGGGCTGGGGGTGGGCTGGGCTGGGCTGGGCTGGGCTGGGCTGGGCTGGGGGTGGGCTGGGCTGGGCTGGGCTGGGCTGGGCTGGGCTGGGCTGGGGGTGGGCTGGGCTGGGCTGGGGGTGGGCTGGGCTGGGCTGGGGTGGGCTGGGCTGGGCTGGGGGTGGGCTGGGCTGGGCTGGGCTGGGCTGGGCTGGGCTGGGCTGGGCTGGGCTGGGCTGGGCTGGGGGTGGGCTGGGCTGGGCTGGGCTGGGCTGGGCTGGGCTGGGGGTGGGCTGGGCTGGGCTGGGCTGGGCTGGGCTGGGCTGGGCTGGGCTGGGCTGGGGCAGCCCTTTCCTCTGCTCTGACATCTCCTGTTGCCTCAGGTCTGATTGGAGGCTTTGTGGGGACCCCTGCAGACTTGGTCAATGTCAGGTGTGTGTCCACATTCTCCCCAGCCCAGCTCTCTGCTCCCTAGACAGATGGGTGATTGGTGGGGTCGCAGCGGAGCAGAGCAGACCTGCCCGAGCCCTGTGCGTGGGGGGCTGGCCCCATTGCCCTGCCTGGCACAGGGTGGGCGGCCCCAGCCCCGGAGGGACTTGCGTGTGCACCCTACTCCACCTGCCTCTTCCGACGCAGGATGCAGAATGACGTGAAGCTGCCCCTGGAGCAGCGGCGCAGGTGAGTAGCGGGCTTGGCTCTTCAGAGGCCATGGGACCCCGGGACAGCTCTACCTAGCCAGCACACCAGGCGGCTCATGGCCTGGGCCACCCTGGGTACCACTCGGTCAGCTGAGGCCTTTGGGTTCTGCCTTTGTCAAGCAATTGTGGTAGGTTGGGTGTTGGGCCTGGCTGGCCTGCAGGGCAGCCAGGCTGGTCTGGGTTTAAGTGGGGGCTTTACAGGGACCCCTGCAGCCCTGGTCACTCCCATACCCAGCCACGTTCTCGTGTCTTGCTGGCTTCCTTTGGGCCCTCACCTGAGGGCAGTGGTTGAGGCGCATGCAGGGCTCTGGCCAGCCCTGGGGACGGCAGCACGCAGGGCAGCCAAGGCTGGTCCACAGACAGGACTGGCCAGAGCCCAGAGGAAACACCCAGCTGCTCTGGGTCCGCAGCCAGTGAGGCCCAGGAGGCTTCTCTCAGGGTCTGGCAGGCGGGGCTGGAGGACAGGGTGAGCCTCTTGTGTCCCATTGTCACCTGCAGTTATGCCCACGCCCTGGATGGCCTGTACCGCGTGGCCCGTGAAGGTGAGAAGATGGCGGGGGGGGAGGGGCTGCCGAGATCCCAGAGGGGACGCAGTGGTGGGGCACAGTGGCAGTGGCCGAGGCGGTGGCCAGGCCTGAGGCTGGCTCCGACCCACGCTTCCTCCCGCAGAGGGTCTGAAGAGGCTGTTCTCGGGTGCGACCATGGCGTCCAGCCGCGGGGCTCTTGTCACTGTGGGCCAGGTAGGACTCCTGGGCCGGGCAGAGCTGGCAGGCAGCCCTTCCCGGAGGACAGCCAGTGCTGCCCTGGGAGGGGTCTGTGGGCCCCTGGCCGGTGTGGCGCGGGCACAGGGCTGGCTGCGGGCAGCTTCTCCGTCAGGGCTCGGCCGCCGGCCCAACTGTGGTGTGTTGGTGCCCACCTGCTGGCGTCCTTGTGGGGTGCTGTCGCAGGGCTCCCCTTGGGCCTGACCACCACTGCTTCCCCATCCCTCTTCAGCTCTCCTGCTACGACCAGGCCAAGCAGCTGGTCCTGGGCACCGGGATCCTGCCCGACAACATTGTCACTCACCTGGTGGCCAGCTTCATCGCGGTAAGTGCTGGCACAGGGCACGGGGCCGGTGCTGAGCCGAAGGCCGGCAGGCTGCCAGACCGCATCTGTGGGTGTCAGAAGCCGCATTTCCTGAAACCCCACTGCAGAGGGGGTGAGGGGACTGTCCACCCTGGCGGGGGCCGACAGACCATGAGCGGATGGGGCGCCACGGGCTGCCTGGTAATGAGCCTCCTCCCCAGGGCGGCTGTGCCACGCTCCTGTGCCAGCCCCTGGACGTGCTGAAGACGCGCCTGATGAACTCCAGGGGCGAGTATCAGGTGAGGACCTGCTCCTGCCGCGGCCCCGCCTGACTCCCCCCGCCCTGCTCGGGCCGCCTGCACCCCTCCTGGTATTGGGGCTGCCGGCCTTGCTCTGAGCCTGCCGTCCTCTCCGGGGCTGCAGACACTGCGTTGCGGGTCCCAGGGAACCGGTGGACACAGGCTCAGGTGGCGGGTGGCCAGCCGCGAGCAGGGAAAGCTGAGTGAGAGCCCCCGGACCGACAGGGACTTGGGCCAGTGCCCGGCTTGGCCCCTGCGCAGCGCCACGTGCTCTGCCTGGCTCCCTCGCGCTGCAGCCTGTCTGTCCTCCTCCCCGTCTGCCCTGTCTGCCCCTTGCTCTTCCTGACGCCACCTCAGACTGGCTGCCACAGTCACTCACCATGCGGCAGGTGGCAGTCACCCCCTGCCCGCGTCCCCCCGTCCCCCCGGAGGCCCTGTTCCCCGGCTCATGCTGGAGGACACTGCAGCGGTGCCCGGGGCCGCTGCCAGCCAGCGCCCGGGAGCTGTCTGTGTCTCTGGGTGAGCCGCCTTCCCCTCCTCCGCTCCTGCAGGGTGTTTTCCACTGCTTCACGGAGACCGCCAAGCTCGGCCCGCTGGCCTTTTTCAAGGTGGGGCACAGCGGTGGGGCGGGGTGGGGTGAGCAGGGCTTGTCCCCCGCCCCACATCTCCATCTCCGCTTCTCCCCCAGGGCCTCTTTCCTGCCGGCATCCGCCTTGTTCCCCACACTGTACTCACCTTTGTGTTTCTGGAACAACTCCGGAAACACTTTGGCATCAAAGTGCTGACCTGAATGCCACGAGGGCACAGCACCCGGCTCCTGGGACGTGCCGACCGCTGGGGCCCCCGACCCCCAGCAGCCCCGCCCTCCCTGTCCCCCAGGCTGGCCGGGCTCCAGCCATCGGCCTCTGTCCCACCCCGTCCCACGGGAGGGTCCCCTCAGCTCTGCCCCGGCCCTCAGCAGAGCTCGGGGTCTCCAGGTAGGTCCCCACCCTGCCCTGGCCCCACTCAGAGCTGGGCAGGTCTGCCCAGCCCTGCGCTGCCCCCCGCAGCTCATCCTCTGGCCCAGGTACATCCTCGCCCACCAGTGCGCACGCCCCACACCAGACCACCTGAGCCTGCGTGCACTTCCGTCCTGAGTCCTGAGCGCGAGTCTTACGGGGGGGGGGGGGGGGGGGGGCAGCGAGCAGGGCCCGCCCTGCCCCCGCTGTTGTAGGTTTCACCAAAGGCTGCCTTCCATGCCTCGCTGCCTACGCCACCCACCTCCCTCACCCCGCAGAGCGAAAGGCCGGCATGGCCTCCGGGCCGGCGTGGCCTGCTCGTCCTGCCAGCCAAAAACAAAGCAACACCAAAGCGCCCTGTTTCCCCAGTGCAGAGCTGGGCCCCAAACCTGTCCACCTCCCGGGGGCCCAGGCCCGGCTACACGGCCCTGGAGGGTCTAATAAAGACCAGTGACCTGGGTGGCCCGCTCGGTTCTTCCCGCCCTCGGGGCAGCCGCTGCCCAGCACCCAGGCTCGCTACCTGAGGTGGCCTTACTGCGTTGGCACTAGCATGGCCCGCCAGCCAGCACCAGTGCCCACGCCTCTCCACACTGCTGCTCTGCAACTTGAACCACAACTCCACATCCAGAGTTGTGGAGATGGGAGTCTCATGAACTCTTCTGCCCGGGCTGGCTTCAAACTGGGATCCTCGGGTCTCAGCCTTCTGAGTAGTAGCTATGATTACAGGCAAGAACCATAGACACTCACCTCCCATTCTTCTAATTCAAAGTTAAGAGCAAGCCGGGCGCTGGTGGCTCACACCTGTCATCCTAGCCACTCAGGAGGTTGAGATATGAGGATCATGGTTCAAAGCCAGCCCTTGCAGGAAAGTCCATGAGACTCTTATCTCCAATAAACCACTAGAAAACTGGAAGTGGCGCTGTGGCTCAAGTGGTAGAGTGCTCACGTTGAACTGAAGAACGCAAGGACAGCATCCAAGCCCAGAGTTCGAGCCCCATGACCAACACACATACACACACACACAAAAAAGATTGTGGAAGGGAGCTAAATACTTTTTTTTTTTTTGGGTCCGGTCGTGGAGCCTGAACTCTGGGCCTGGGCGCTGTCCCTCAGCTCTTCAGCTCAAGGCTAGCGCTCTACCACTTGAGCCACAGCATCACTTCTGGCTTTTTTCTTTTTGCTTATGTGGTGCTGAGGAATCGAACCTAGGGCCTCAGGCATGCAAGGCAAGCGCTCTACCACTGAGCCAACTTCCCAGCCCTAAATGCTTTTTTTTTAAGTTCCTGATTTCTGCATCTCACACTTTCAGTATTTATCAAAGATAATGCAACTTCCCTCTCTCCAGCAGGGCTCCAAGACGGCCCGAGTGCTCACTTGGCAGGCTCTTAGAACTGCTTAGCTTGGCAGGGATAAAGGTCCCATCCTTAGGGCCTGCACCCAGCCTCCTCCCTGGGAAGCCTCCCCTCCCCCCATCTAGAAACTGCCCCATCTGGTTTGGTGTGGCCAGGCCTGGCGGCTGCCCGGCTGCCCGTGGGGAGCATGGTGCAGGGTGGGGTGGGACACCGTCTCCGGTCCTGCTCCCTCCCCTTCAGAGCTGGTGGGAAGGCAGCCGGCCAGGAGTGCCTTTCACAGCACCCCACCCCGCACTGCCAGAGAACTAGCCAGTCCTGAACTACGTCCACCCCCCCCAGCCGTCCGTCCACGGGTCATGTGGCCCCAGGGCCAAGAGCGGATTAATTTTCCACTTGGGCCCCTGGGCACAACGCCAAGCCCAGTTAGGCCTTGTTCTTGCAGAATGAAGTTTACCCGAAGTTAGTGTTTACCCAGAGTTTACCAAAGAAAGCAGTCATTTACTGTCAGGAAACGGGGGCGGGGGGGGGGGGGACACAATTTTGTAGAGAAATAATGGTTTTTCCGCAAGTGGGCCCAGGCAGTCGGCAGTCCACCTACTCAAGCTGGGAGCCGGACCCTGCACCCGCTCACCTGCTGTCCTAGAGCCGCGCGCCCTGCCAGGCTGCCAGGGCGGGCCCTGTCTGCTTGCTGACTGGGAGTGGGCAGGGGTGCCTGGCTGCGGGCAGCCTTGCAGGAGGGGGGGCGAGGCGGGGAGCCCGTGGTGTTGGCAAGCGTGGTCACCAGCGGCTGAGTGCTGCAGCGGCTCCAGTGCTGGGACCCAGCCTGAGCCTGGTGCTAGCACTGTCTTCACCTCCCAGCTACACTCCAGCCTGGTTGAGGTGTGTGTGTGTGTGTAGATGCAGCCACCTGCATCGGTATCTTAGAAGAAAACAGGTAACTTTCATGACCTCAGATTTGGCAAAGGATTCTTAAATTTGACACCAAAACATAAGCAAGGAGATAAACACGTCATCAAATAAGAATGGTTTTGGAGCTGCTCCCCGGTGTCTCACACTTGCAATCCTAGCCACTCAGGAGACTGGGATCTTAGAACTGTGGTTCAATGCAGAGTAGGCAGGAAACTTAAGACTTACCTCCAATTAACCACCAAATAACAAAAGTGGAGCTGTGGCTCAAGTAGTATAGTGCTAGCCTTGAGCACAAAAGCCCAGAGCAGTGGACTGGCATATGCGTGCACACACACCTGCAGGTGTGCATGCAGTCTGGTCGGGCTTTTCAGAGCTTCCATGGTGCGGTGTGGGGTGGGACAGTGCTGCTGTGAGAGGCCTAGGGGAGAGCTGGTTGCTATGACTGACGGCTCAGTACTTTGGACTCATATTTGTGCACAGCACCATTCTCTACAGTTAAAAAGTAATAATCATGCCTGTAATCCTAGCTACTCAGGAGGATGAGAGCTGAGGTATGAGGCGTCAGAACTGGAGGTGTGGCTCAACTGGTAAAGTGCAAGCCATGAACCACTAGCTAGAGGCCCTGAGTTCAAGCCCTGGTTCCAGCCACAAACAGCTAGCTCCCCAACAAGAAGTATGACCATTGAGACAGAAGGAGAAAGAAAAGATCACCTTCTAGGGCTGGGAAGATGGCTCAATGGTAGAGCGCTTGCCTTGCATGCATGAGGCCCTGGGTTCGATTCCTCAGCACCACATAAGAAGAAAAAGCTGGAAGTGGCGCTGTGGCTCAAGTGGTAGAGCGCTAGCCTTGAGCTGAAGAGCTGAGGGACAGCGCCCAGGCCCAGAGTTCAGGAATGGAACCTAGCACTGGTGGCTCACGCAGGAATGGAACCCAGCACTGGTGGCTCACGCCTGTCATCCTAGCTACTCAGGAGGCTGAGATCTAAAGATTGTGGTTCAAAGCCAGCCCAGCCAGAAGAGTCCCTGTGACTCTCCAGCCAACCATCACAAATGGGAAGTGGTGCTGTGGCTCACGAGGTAGAGCACTAGCGTTGAGCACAAAGAGGCTCAGAGCCAGTGCCCAGGCCCAGTGTTGACACTCCACAACCGACAAAGAAAAAAAAGACAAATGTGAACGGTGCCACACTGGCTGTAGCTCACTCTGAACCAGCCCTGGTGTCCTGTGGAGGGACACCGGAGAGGACTGGGGTGTGGAGGCCACCAGCACCCCACCCCATCTGCCTGTGTGGAATGTTGTAATGTTGCCTTCACCAGTAGACTTTAGCTCATTTTGCTTTTTGTGTAATTGGTACCTGCAATGCCCAGCCTGCAGCCCTCACTGCCCATGCCCCTCCTCACCCGCAGGTCTTGGCTCCTCCCCGACCTGCTCAGGGCAGGGCCCTCCCGGAACCCCCAGGGTGCTGGAATGTGAGACCAGAAAGGACAAGGGTGAGGCAGGAAAAGTTCTGGACCTCAAGGAAATGCCTTGCGCAAGGGAGAGAAGAGGAGCACTTGTAGGAAATGGAGCTGGGGGTGGGTGCTGCTTCCTCCTGTTCCCTCCCCCTCCTGACAGGGGTGCAGAGACCACAGGGGTGCAGAGCCCCACCTACTTCACCCTCCAGGGCCGCGTCTCCCGACTGTCCCAAGGACGCAGCTGTCCCGCGGCCCGTCCGGCCCAGGCCACCACCGTAGGTCCTTCGAATTTCGGCAGGATAGAGGGGTGGCGGGGGCCTCCGGGAAGGAAGGTACTGGAAGGGAGGTGGGCAGCCCCAAAGGCAACACCACCCGGTGCCTTGCTGCTCCTTTTCTCCTCTTCCCCCGCCCTCCCTCCTTCTCTCCTCTCCTCTCTTTTCTTTTCTTTTTTTTTTTTTTGTCAGTCGTGAGGTTTGAACTCTGGGCCTGGGCGCTGTCCCTCAGCTCTTCAGCTCAAGGCGAGCGCTCTACCACTTAAGCCACAGCACCACTTCCGGTTTTCTGGTGGTTTATTGGAGATAGGAGTCTCACAGTCTCTCCTGCCCGGGCTGGCTTTGAACCGCGATCCTCAGATCTCAGCCTCCTGAGTAGCTAGGATTACAGGCGTGAGCCACCAGCGCCCGGCTCCTCTCTTTTCTGTCTTCACATTGGGAGGCCTCACACTTGCCAGGCAGGTGCTCTACCACTTGAGCCAGGCCCCTAGCCCTTCTTGCTTTAGTTACTTTTGGGATAGGGTCTTAACCTTTTTTTTGAAAATTTTATTTCATTGTAAAGATGGTGTACAGAGGGGTTATAGTTACATCAGTAAGGCAATGAGTTCATTTCTTGTTGAGTAGTTACCCCCTCCTTTGTTTTTCTTCTACTATCCCTTCCCTCCCCACCTCCCTCACTGCCTGCCCCAAGTTGTAAAGTTCATCTCCCACATAGTGTCCTGTGAGCATCATTGTTGTACAGGTCATCCAGTGTCCTTTTTTTTCAGCATTTTATTCCCCTTCCCCTTTTTTGTTGTTGTTTTGTTTTTCCTGGGGCCTGGGTGCTCTCCCAGAGCTGCTTTTGCTCTTCTGGTGCTCTTCCACTTGAGCCACAGCGCTACTACTTCTGGCTTTTTCTGTGATTAATTGGAGATAAGAGTCTTCCAGACTTTCCTGCCCTGGCTGGCTTCAAACCAAGATCTCCAGATCTCAGCCTGCTGAGTACGATTACAGGCATGAACCACCCATGTCCAGTTTTGCTCGGGCTTTTGTGTGCGTTACCAGAAGATAAATGAGGGTTTCCCTCAGTTTCCCAGTTTGTACAAAAGGCACAGGTCCTTGAGATCCACTCATGAAAAGTATTTCAGGGTATCTAAAAAAGGTGTGTGTGGGGGGGTGAATATGGCTTAATGGTAGAGTGCTTGCCTAACACACATGAAGCCCCATACACAGAAAAAAACAGAAGTGGTGCTGTGGCTCAAGTGGTAGAGCCTGGAGCAAAAGAATCTCAGGGACAGTGCTTAGCCCCAGGTCTGCCAAAAACAACAACAAAAGAGTCTCACGAGGAGAAGGTTTTCACGAGGGTTTTCGTGTGATGGGGAAAACAGAGAAAGACGTCCCATTCCTCACTCCAAGTAGGAGCCACTAGCACCCAGCACTCAAATCTTTGAAACGTTTTATTGACTAACAAGTGACATACAATAAACTGCGTAAC